TATTGCTAATAGTTTTTTCTTGCTTTTCTTTCCATGGACGACATGGAAACAGACAAAAACCTGCAACCCCACAGAAATATTGAAACACATATGATTGACAGGAGTTTAACTAATTTAGTTTTAACCAACTTCAAAACTAATTATGGTGTCAAAATACGAGTGTGTAGATGTTACTAAGCAAATTAACTTATCTCCGCGCAACCTTCAAACCTAGGGCTCGGTTTCTTTAAATTTTCCCTGACAAATCTTTGCAATAGCGTTGTAGAATATATGCAGCTGCAACTAACCTACCGAATTACCTTTGTTCCTCCAAAATCAAAGGAAAAATGCACCCTGAAATAGTTCCTTTTTTTTTTTTTAACAGAAACTCTGAAATAGTAATTAATATGCACATAAATAGATGTTGGAATATGTAGTAACTAGTTAAACGGAAAGAAAACATTCAAGTACTTGCTGTTAACATTACAATTTACAAAACTAAAGACAAGCGTCAACAAAGAGATTCATCAAGCTGATTCTCTCTTGACTTGACTTCAGCTCCTACAGAAACTACTCGAGTTAAAAACACACAGGAGGAGAAATCTTCTCTAAGTTCCCACCCTCAAAAGATGAGGTCATGCAGAGAAGGTTGGTACGATATGAGAAAGCAAAGAAGGAAGAGCACAAAGGCTACCCCCCAAGGTGAGCCCCCGGCTCTGTGTATGGCACCAGGCTCAGACCCTGGCATGGGGAAGCTGATGTTGCTGCCTGAGGAGAGCCAGTGAACAACAATCACTAAGAGCAGAGGAGATATTACTAGCAAGCGCTGAAGCAGTTCAGATGCTGTAGCCATTATAGCATCATAGACTACATAACCCAAGAACCCACATACCAGAACTGTTGCTGCCATTAGAAGCCACTGCTCTGAGAGATTGAAGCTTAAAGTTCCAGATCTGGGAGGTGAAGCCATGCATATGTTGAAATGAGGTGTAATTGTGAAGGAGTGAAGGGTGGAGTATACTAGGACATTCAGATGTGTGTCATAGAGGTAGCTGCATGTCCTTTTGGTCAGAATCAATTATTAATGTTGGGACTTTATTTGCATTTGTTGTTATGTAGCTCTATTTAAGGAGGAAGAATATTTTTCACCCAATCCTTAAGTTAGAATCTAATCTGATTTATCTGACCTTTAATTATCTCCTTTGTAATTTGAGGGTATTTGACAGGCAAATGACTTTTCTCTCCAGTGAAGTCAAATTAACTAATACAAGTCCAAGGGTAAGAAAGGGCAATACAGGGATTTCAAATTCATAAGGAATCTTTCTCTAAATTAGAGAATTAGGATTTGGTAGCCATTTAAAAAAAAAAAAAATTGTTAGTTAGAATAGTGGCATGGTAAATTGGTAATTGACTTATTGGTACTCAAGTTCTAGCTCAAATCATATTTTATTGAGTTTGTGTGAAACTTGAGCTTTGTTGAGTTTAGAATGGTCGAGCTCTAAGTCAACTCATTTTAGAATCAAAAACCTAATAAGCTTGCCAGTTAAATTTATCTTGCTATTCGCACATTTTTATCATATTTGAGTTGGTTTCGTAAATGAGTTTAAGTTGGAATCGAGTTTGAATTAACTCATTTTTTATTTTAGCCTTTTTCTGTTAGAAATATTTTTTTCTTATTTTTTTACTTATCTTTCTATCTTATATTATATGTACTTTTAATAGATATAAAAACAAAACTAATGTAATTATAATATCATGTAATATTATAAATTTATAAATTTATAATTATAATATATTATTATATTTTTTTAAAAACATATATATAATATTATATATATTTATTTAATAATATATTATAATTATAATTTATAATTTTATAAAACATTATAACTAAATCATTGTTTTTTTTTCTTTTGAACAAATGTCGTAAAGCCGGATTAAATCGTTATCCGAGGGATAAGAGAAAAATAAACTTTTACAAGAATGACGGATACCACTCGACCTTATAAACCAGGTTCCATTGCTAATTTTTATTGGCCCACTTGAGTTGATGGCAAGATTGTATTAGACTTCATAAATGTTGTCTGGAATAAAACATTACATGTACGCAAAAAATATTTACCTTAAACAAATAAGCTACTGGAAATGGGAAGGCCACCACCAAAATGCAGAAAGCAGAATCACCTCGGTCAGGAGAGACTACGTCGTTTCAGCTGGCACCAC